TGAACTAGATTTTTAAGGGAATGAAGACTTTCTACTAATAATTCAGCCTCCAACAAAAGAGCTAGCGGCAGAAGAAGCCACGGGCCTTCAGGATAAGGTTCCACATGGCTACTGTGAACTAGATTTTTAAGGGAATGAAGACTTTCTACTAATAATTCAGCCTCCAACAAAAGAGCTAGCGGTAGGGAGCCCCCCTCTGCGCCCCCAGCCTTCTCTCTCGGTCTCTCAGTTCCTGTCTCTCCCTGCTTCTATCTTCCCTTTTTTTTTTGGTAATATTTCCTTTTTACTCCTTTTTTTTTTTAAAAAGAGGCCCAGTTTTTCTCTGGCCCTTAGCTCCGCCTTCCTTCTTGTTAATTTTCGCTCTGCTCCTCCCATCCAGGCAGAAGAAGCCACGGGCCTTCAGGATAAGGTTCCACATGGCTACTGTGAACTAGATTTTTAAGGGAATGAAGACTTTCTACTAATAATTCAGCCTCCAACAAAAGAGCTAGCGGCAGAAGAAGCCACGGGCCTTCAGGATAAGGTTCCACATGGCTACTGTGAACTAGATTTTTAAGGGAATGAAGACTTTCTACTAATAATTCAGCCTCCAACAAAAGAGCTAGCGGCAGAAGAAGCCACGGGCCTTCAGGATAAGGTTCCACATGGCTACTGTGAACTAGATTTTTAAGGGAATGAAGACTTTCTACTAATAATTCAGCCTCCAACAAAAGAGCTAGCGGCAGAAGAAGCCACGGGCCTTCAGGATAAGGTTCCACATGGCTACTGTGAACTAGATTTTTAAGGGAATGAAGACTTTCTACTAATAATTCAGCCTCCAACAAAAGAGCTAGCGGCAGAAGAAGCCACGGGCCTTCAGGATAAGGTTCCACATGGCTACTGTGAACTAGATTTTTAAGGGAATGAAGACTTTCTACTAATAATTCAGCCTCCAACAAAAGAGCTAGCGGTAGGGAGCCCCCCTCTGCGCCCCCAGCCTTCTCTCTCGGTCTCTCAGTTCCTGTCTCTCCCTGCTTCTATCTTCCCTTTTTTTTTTGGTAATATTTCCTTTTTACTCCTTTTTTTTTTTAAAAAGAGGCCCAGTTTTTCTCTGGCCCTTAGCTCCGCCTTCCTTCTTGTTAATTTTCGCTCTGCTCCCCTTTTGTATTTAGCAGGCAATTGAACAAGGTTAAGCAATATTTTTAAGTAAGAAAGATTGGGGGCCAGCAGGTGGTGTGGTGGGTAAGGCACTCCCACGTGGCCTACTCGTGTCTGAGGCCCTGACCTGGCAGCTCGCTTTCTCACGTTCCCTCTCTTTCTCTAGGGAGTGCATGTGCCCTATAGCAAATTAAAAAAATAAAATAACATCAGGGGCCAGTGATTAAGGCGCTGGACTCCCACATGTCCGACTGCAGTTTAAGTCCCAGGCCTGGTGGCCTGAAAATCATGCTGGGTGTGTGCATGTGTGTGCCCAAAATCCTGAGAGGAGAATGGAGGAGAATGGATTGCAGCGTGGCCATCCTTTCTTGGTGAGGTGGGGTAGTTCTCACTTTCCTTCTCTGTCTGTCTCTGTCTCCAGTGAGCGCATGTGCCCTATGACTAAAATCTAAAAAATAATATTAGGTCATTGGGAGAGTCATGACAGAGTTTTCTGTTTTTTTATGCAAAAATGCATCATGACTTTCCCAACGAGCCAACAATAATAATTACAATAATAAAAACAATCGAATAAATGATTCTCTAAAAAGATTAATTCTTGGAATATAACACTAGCACTGAAAGGTGAACTACACCATCGGTGTTCACCTGGACGGATTTTCACAAACTAGACACCTCTGTGTAATCAGTGCTAGGCGCGGAGACAAGGAAGGACGGTGTCTGTATTCCTGTGCACTGCCCAGGAACCCCACGAGAGGCAGGAAGGGCATTTCACAATTCAGTTTACAGGTAAGAAAACAGATTGGGCCCCTAAGGCCAGAACTGGAACTTGGATTCCTGGTGTGACTGCTGAGTCCCAGCCAGGGTCCCCTGCAGACCCCGCCCACCTCAACATCTGCCAGGCGGAGGGGTGGTGGCACCGCTCCACCGCTTTCCACACTCTCCCTTCCAGCTGCGCGTTGTGACCTCATTTTCCCTTACGGCTGCCCTTGGAGTTTATTTCTGCAGAACGGGAATGTGGCGGGGAGAGGAGCACGCCCGCTCTCCCTGACCCTCCCGGGAGTCCTCGTCCCTTTCCCTGCCTCGCTTTTCCAGGCAGACCTGAGGAGCGAACCAGAAGTTCAAAGACATTAACAAGTGACAGTTACAAGGGACCAGGTGCCCCTGGGAACTGGGGGAGGGCAGCCTCTGCATCTGGACTGTGGGTTTATTTTTCTTTTAATTCTTCTGAAGAGTAGCTTAAACACTCCAGTCCTTGGCCATATTTCCTCGTTTCTTCTTATCCAGATTGCCGTGTCTGCTAAGCCTGGTTCCCAGCCTCTGCTGGAAAAAGCCTGGGTTTCACCACCCCAGTCCAGGTGGTGGAAGCTCTTGGTTAAATATTGAGAAACCACAGTGGTCTGAGTGCTCACCAGGTACAGAGCAGTAATCATTCTCCCCCTTATTTATCCCAGAAACTCACGAGACAGGCTTTCTTAGTGTCCTCCCCAAATCGAGGCTGGCAGAGTGAGTTAGTCAGCACTAGGGCCCAAGGCCCAAGCAGAGCCAGTTTCCAGAGCTACCCTCCCAAACCCGGCATGGCGCGGTGCCTTAGGGAGAAGGTGTGGATAAGATCCTTTTGACCTGTCCTTGTAGAAGTCAGCAAGTGCTATATCTTCGGCTGCAGCTCAAGGGAGACCTGAAGGGTCCGCAGATAGAGATTCAGACCCGACTTGGCTTGAAAGAGCGCCATGCTTTGGTTTGCGAACCAAACAGGCCACGTCAGAAGCTCAGGGAACTGCCAGTGAGCAGAGTGAAAACTCACTCTGAAACGTGTCACGACTTCTCATGTTGTGCCTTTCAGACATGTCTGAAGGAATGCAGCATGTCATAGGGACACTGGTTGCAGGATGGGGACACCCCCACAGACACATGCACACACACTACTTTGTTTTCTTCCTTTAATTTTTTTTTTTGGAGAGATTTTAGCTATAGGGCACGTGCGCTCGCCAGACATGACAGAGACAGAGAGACAGAAAGCGAGAAATCACCCCCCGGGAGGGATGGCCACGCCGCAATCCCTTCTCCTCCATTCTCCTCTCGGGATCTTGGGCACACACGCACATGCGCCCAGCATGAGTTTAAGCCACCGAGTCCGGGGTGCGAACCGTGGTCGACTACGTGGGAGTCCAGCGACATAGCCATTACGCCAACTGCTGGTCCCTTCTTCCTTTAAGGTTTGAAATAGGCACAGCCCTCTAGTCATTCTTAAGAGAGACTGCGGGGTCAACAGTGGTGTGGAGGTTAAGGCAGCCGGATACCACATGGCCAACTTCGTGGTTCAAGGCCTCACCTGGCAGCTTGAAAATCACACTGGGTACAGGTACATGCGTGCCCTAAATCCCAAGAGGAGGATGGAGGAGGAGGGATTGAGGCATGGCCATCCCCCAGGGTGATTTATTGCCTTCTCTCTTTCTCTCTGTGTCTGGTGAGTGCACACTCCCTATAGCAAAGAACTAAAAGGAAAAGAGAGAGAGCCCAGGATAGTGGAGAGTATTTCACCACTCTGTGAAAACAGCGAGGCCAGTACAGCAGCTGTGTTGGCCCTCAGTAGCCGCGCGTTTCCATCGGGTGGAAACTGTTCCGTTGTTGCCGATCTGTTCTATGTAGTTAGGCCTGGGTGGCTGTGCCTGTACTGAACAGGGCCGGACCTTTTCTTGTTCCCCAAACAGTACAGTGTAACAGCTGTCTAGGTGGCATTTGCCTTCTATGAAGTGCTCTAAGTAATCTTTAAAGTACACGGGAGGATGTATCTATTGACAGGTTATATGTAAATATTATGTCATTTACTATAAGGGACTTTTGAAATCGGAGGGGGGTGTCCTGGATGCTTGCCGTGGATTTCAGACGGACAACGCCATATAGCCACTGTCATTTACCTTAGTGTGTGTGTGGTGGTGAGGAGTGGGGTGCAAAGCGGATGGGAAGGGACTGTGGCAAGCTGGTAAGCCAGCTGGGCACCTTCGCCCAGCTTTTGCGCCTGGCTCCCGGCATGCACCCCGCACCCGGGCTCAGTGTCATCAGGCCTCCCAGTGTCTCCGAGAGAAGCTGCAAGTCCACACTGTTCTGTGAAATCTCTCGTGCTCTCAGTGCTGGCTCACTTTCCTTTCATATACTCGCTACATGCCTTACCTGTGGGCTGTCAGCTTAAGATTATCTGGAATAGTTGTTTGGAGCTCACTTCTGGAATCAGTGTTCTTGCCCCCCCCATCCTTGATCTTCTCCTTATTAACCGTTATCAAGATTAAAAGTTATATATTACTTCACTGTACTCATCTGTCAAATGGAGTTAAGTTTACCCACTTATTTTTTTTTTTAAGAGGTTTTTGCTAAAGGGCACGTGCGCTCACCAGAAAGACAGAGAGACAGAAAGCAAGAAATCACCACCCAGGAGGGATGGCCACGCCACAATCCCTTCTCCTCCAATTCTCCTCTGGGGATCGGATCTTGGGCATACACACATGTGTGCCCAGCGTGAGTTTAAGCCACCAGGTCCAGGACTTGAACCGTGGTCGACTACATGGGAGTCCAGCCATTATGCCATCTGCTGGCCCCAAGTGTGCCCACTTCTGAGGGCTGCTAGGAGGAGTCACGAGAAAGCCTTGGAGCCCCGTACCTGATATCCGAGCACGTGGTAAACGGAATCTCCTATCATTACCGTGTCTCTCCGTGAGTGCAGGGTGACCGTATATGCCACCGTATACGCCCATTTGCCTGAAACAGTCTGGTCCTGCTTGTACGGGTACAATCACTAACTCCCATGTCACTCACGCTCAGTATAGGAGAGGAAGTTAGTTTAGCCCATGGAAGCAGATCCTGGCACCATGCCGTCTAGGACTTTAACAAGCTACAAACTGAATGCAAAGGCCCTAGCTCCAGCTATTCGGGTGTCCTTGGACAAGTCACTTAACCATTTCCCCGCTTCAGTTTCACATTCTAAAGGACTGGCAAGATGGATCAGGAGCCCCCTTTGGTCCACATTAATGCTGTCTCGTAACAGACGTGTAAGGTGAGCCCAGCTGTTTATGGTAAGCCCAGATGTACCAGGCAGAGGCCCAGGACATGGAGAAGCTAGGACACAGCAGGGTCCTCTCCTCACACTTGGCCAATGAGGACCTTCTGTGCAGGGCGGTGACAATACTTACCCGTCGTTTGAAAGACTGTTACTGGCTGCCTGCGTGGCCTGGTAGGTAAGGCAGCTAGATCCCACATGGCCAACCACACTGCTCGAGGCACGGATCTATCTGATAGCTTGAGACACTCCGGGTGTGTGTGCACGTGTGCCCAAAATCCTGAAAAGAGGGCGGGATGGGAAAGGAGGGAGAGATGGCGAAGAGATTGCGGTGCTGTGACCACAGGTCCTCTCTCCTCTCTCTGGCCAGCAGGTGCACCTCCAGGCAAAACCAAAACAAAAAACAGTTCCTAAGAAACAGAATCGAATGTTGACATTTTAAACCTCAGTTTCTCACCAGGGAGTCATTAGGTGTCAGTATAATTCTCACCACACGTTTCTTTCTTGTGTGTAGGTATCTAAATATTTTTTCCCCAGATTTATAAAACTAGTAAAATTTCTCTATGGAAAATTGGAAATGACAGAAAGGCCCACAGATTTTCTTCATCTCTTTTGACTCTGCCTGGGGTGGGGCGGGGCTCCTGCTATTTCAGTCCAAGGTTAACCCACTTGAGCACACGCACATCTTTCTAGCCACTTTGTCAAAACTTTTTTTAAAAGCCGCTGTCCTCAAATTTGTGTGGCGTTTCCTAATCAATTCCCTCTCCCATCCTCGATAGGCCAGCTGTGGAGAGCTGGCCTGGCGCTGTGCTGAGTTTACCAAGCAATATGCTCACCCTCCTACCCCTCCCCCCCGTACGTTCAACTCAGGCGTGACTCTGCCGAGACCTCCCGACCCGCATTAACGAGGAACTGGCAGTCACGTCTGCGAAGTGACCCCGCCGAGTGCGACGACCGCCCCGCCCCGGTGCAGTCATGCGCCACCCACGCGCGCTCCGAGCCGCCTTCGGGAATTGCGCCCCCGGCGATGAGGTTGGATTGTGCTGACCCAGAAAGCCACTTCCGGCCAGGACCCGAGCCGCCGGCGTCGGGAAAGTTACCCCCACGGAGAAGGAAGTGGCTCTGGGGCAGTTTATTTCGGCCGCGGACTCGCAGACGGCGCCGGGGCCACCGCCACGGCCGCGTAGACCGGGTGTTTGCAGAACTGGGCGGGGACGTCGGGCGGGCTTCGAGGCCTCGGGGGCGGCTCCAGCCAGTGGCTCTGGGGCGCGCCGGTGAGGGGGCGCGCTGCAGGAGAAAGGGTGCACCACGAGGCAGGCAGGGTTCCTGTGGGAGGAGGGGCGCCCCTCTCTGGGCCGAGGAGGGAGGAGGCCAGGTGTGCCCAACCTGGAATGCTCGGCTGCAGGGCCATGCCCGGGGATTCGGTAAGGGAGAGCCCCAGGGGAGCGAGGCCGCGGGAGCAGTCGGTACTGGTCCGACCTAGACTGGAGGCGAGATGGTCGGATCTGCGCTGCTTCATCCAGCAAGAAGGGGCCTGAGTCAGGACAGGCCGAAAACGCCGAGGTCGGAGAAGACAAAAGCCAGCAGGGGATGAGATCAAACACCAGTAAATCGCTAGGGGAAAGGCCGGCGGTGAGGATTTGCATTCCCAGAGAATCCCAGGGGCTTAGTCCCTACCCACCTGGGAGGGCTCCGTGGACGGCAGAACCGTGGGAAGGGTAGAAGTCGGCTTTCTAAATTTACAGTTTCCCACTTCCCACCCCCTCAGTACAGCCCCCGTCTTGCATTTAGTAAGTGGGGTGATGACCCCGCTTCTTAACCTAGTCCCCTCCTGGTTTGCTTTAATGGCTGCCCTGAACACAGGATATCACGTTCCTCAGCCTGTATTTTACGCCCAGAGGAAGGCATCTCTGGAAATGAGTGGCGAAAGAAACAACCACGGCTTTGGAGGAAGGGTCTGCACGCACACGTGGGTGACACAACAGAGCAGGCAGGTCTGTGCGCGGTTTAGACACCATGGTTTAGGCCGTGGGTGGCGAGCCGTCAGCCTGCCTGGAATAGCGGGCTGGCGGGAGGAGAACCTGCAAAGTGCCGGGTGGAGGGCAGAAGGGAGCCCACAATAGCCGGAGTCCACTGGGAATATTATACAGTTGGCCTTGATGTCATGTGACACCCCTCCCCAACCCTGGTCAAATGAGCATTCATGTATGTGGACACAGTCTCCAGCTGGAGGTGGTGCAGGGTGGGGTGCTGGGTCCCCAGGGTTGGCCCATTAACAGGGTGGGGCTGGCAGCTTCTGCTGACTCAGGGACATTTGCAGGCCTGGCCTCAGGGCCAAGGAACTCATTGGAAACAGCTGTTCTTCTTGGCTGGTGGCCCTGCGGGCGGCCTCTGGCTCTCCCTGGATTGACCTCTTGCCTCTCGAGGTCTGGGGAGCTGGTGGAAGAGAGAAAGAATCTGTAGCTGGTGGCCTCTGCCGTGCCTTTGGGGGCCAAATCAGGTGACACCCCCCCCCCCCAAGCCCCGGGTTTGGCCAGCTGGCTGCCAGTCCCCAGCTCTGCAGATACTAAGGTGGTTGCTGGGCCTGGCCGTTCTTGCCTGCAGCCTTTGTTCCTGAGGTTCTCCAACTTGGAATGCGATCCTTGTCCTGCCTCACCCCTGCTTCACCTTTCCGGTTGTGTTCAGCATGCCTCTCATTCAACAGATATGCTGAGAGTCTGCTGGCTGAGCCCAGGAAACTGCGGGAACAGAGAGGTTTGCTCCCAAGAGACAAACTGTCGCCAAGCCTTGCACTCAGCCTCCAACTCCACCAAAGTGTCACATGTACCTAACGGTGTATTTTTTTAGAGAATGGAAGCCTCAGGCTCTTTGACAGGAAGGGAGGAGATGGAGTCACTCAGAGCAGGGCAAATAGCTTTAAACCCAGTTGTCTGGTCAGCCTCATGGCCTAATGGTTAAGGAAGCTAGATCCTACATGACCAATCACAGTTCAAATCCTAGCCCCAGTGGTTTGAAAAACGTACTGAGCTCCTATACAAGCATGCCCCAAATCAGGATAGAATGGAGAAATGGAAGAGAAGGAATTTTGGCGTGACTGTGCCCCATTAGGGGGGTGCTTTCTCCCTCTTTATTTTTCTGAGTCTCTGTGACCAACACATGTGGCCTCTGGCAATGAAAAAACAAACAGACAAACAAAAACAGACCAGTTTCTGTAAAGCACAGGAATTCATTTCCCCAAGGGCGGTTGATGGACCTGGATGTTTGAATGACAAGAAGTGGAGAAAGGTCTCATCTGAAAGATTCCGATCACTCAGTTACCTGCAAAGTCCATTTCCAGCCAACACCTTCACCCCCAAACTTGCAGCAGGAGGTGGGACTGTTTGCTTGTAACCTTTTCACACATCCCTTCATGAGTTCTCTCTAGCTTCAAAGGACAGGGTCATATCATCTGCTTCATTTTTCATTTCTCTGCCGTCCCTAGTACAGTACTTTATAAATGGTGTCAAAGCCCCTGGGACAGCCGGAAGGGTGACGAGGGGAATAGGCTAACGTTTCAGCCGGCAGACACCCCCTCTCAGATGGCCCCGAAGTATCCCAGAGGCTGGTCTGACAGGTGTGAGGGGACCTTCACAATAGCCTCTGGGGGAGAAAGGCTCTGCCCCAAGACATAGGCTGTGTGTTTATCTAGATTATTTTGTTTACTAGGGACAGAAACTAGATGCAAACAAATTCAGCAAAAGACAGCATAGACCCAGATGGCTGGCTGAGACAGGAGGGTCAGAGTTTGAGGCCAGCCTGAGCAACACAGCGAGATGCTGTCACTAACTGAAACAGAAAGAACTCAGGAGGGAAGAGCCTCAGGAGCTCGGCTATATGGACTGGACATCCAGAGCCTCCAGGCTCTCTTTCTCCCTCCATCTCAGCTCACCCCGGCACTGCCTGTCTCTGTGGTGTCCTCTGGTGGTAGGAAATGGGGCCCTTGGCAGCCCCAGTCTAAAGTTCTCAACAGAAAGCAAAAAACGTCCTATATTCAGGGGAGTTCCCTGTTCAGATCAGTCCTACTTGAGTTATACGCCCAGTCACTGGGGCCCAGGGGGCACACTGTCATCAGTCAAGAGTGAGACTTGTACCCACATAGCAGCGGTATAAGGTGGATAGAGCGGTGGATAGATATAGATAGAAAGATACTGGGTCGTCAGGAAAGTTATGATGCATTTCTTGCATAGAAAAATATGTCATGGGACCAGCAATTAGCGTAATGGCTATGTTGCTGAACTCCCATGTAGTCAACTGTGGTTTGAGTCCCAGACCCGGTGTCTTAGACTCATGCCGGGCACGTGTGCATGCATGTCCAAGATCCCAAAAATGGAGGAGAAGGGATTGTGGCGTGGCCATCCCGCCTTGGGGGTGATTTCTTGCTGTCTTTCTGTCGCTCTCTGTCTTTCTGGTGAGCATATGTGCCCTATAGCAAAATCCTCTTCAAAAAGAAAAAAAAAAGAAAAATATGTCATGACTTCCCTGATGACCTAATAGATTGTTAGATGATAGAGAAAGGGAAGGAGAAGAGGGAAAATGGGAAAAGAATGGGAAGTTTTCTGGGCAGACAAAAACAAAAGGCCAGAGACAATATAAGCTATCCAGTAACGCTAAGCATTCTTTCATCACCTGAGTCTTCACTGTAGAGACTATATGGTGATAAGGGATGGGATCGTGTCTGTATTGTTCACCACTGTATTCTTGGTGCCTGGCATCTATGAAATTGTCAGTAAATACATGTTGAGTGAATAAGTGAGTCACGTCCAGCAGGTGCTCAGTGTTCAGCTCCCCCCCAGCTTTGTTTATTCAGTCACTGGACAAGCACATATTGAGCCACTGTGTGCTGGGCAAGGAGTAGTTACCAATAGAATTCAAGAAGTTGCCTCTGCGCTGTGACCTTCACTCCCTGCTTTGACATCAGATGCTCCCAGGCATATAGGAGGTCTGGGAGTAGGTGAGGCTGGAGGGCCCCTGTCAGGATGCAGGGCATCAGCCTGGTGCTCTGAGCTCCCTCTGGTGCATCCCGTGTGCTCCCTGAGAGCACAGGTACAGAGAGCCCAGCGCCAGTCCTCAGCGCACCTTCATCTCTACCTCTGTCTACAGCATTTCCAGCTCAGGCAAGCCTGAGGTAGACCCTTCCTCCATTAGGCCCTGGAGAAATAGCTTCCTTTCTGCAGGGGCTTAGGTCTATCCCTTGACTCTGGGTGGAAAATACTTGCCTAAGTGCCCCCACCCCACCCCAGCTTTGCGGGGCCCCAGGGACCCATGTGCAGGGATTCTCTTCCACCCTGCTTGGCTTCGAGCTCTCCTGTGGCCTCCTCCTCTGCTCCCTGATTCCCATCCTTTCCTCATTTACTGCCAAGACAGTCCTGTGCTCCTCATTCACCCTCTGCCTCCTCCAGACCCTCAGTCTTCACATCCCTATCCTGATTGGGTCTCCCAGTCTTCAGGAAGCACAGAGCTCCCTCTGATACCCCCAGATACCTAGGATTTTAAAGTCTTGTTTGCCCCCCTGTCCCACTTTATCCAAACCCACAGCTCTTCCACTGGATTGGAAATCCCACGAGGAGGACAGTGCTGTGAGTTTCTTAGTGGTCCCAGCATTGCCTGGAACACGCCATGCTCCCAGCAGGAGTCCTACGAAGATATTTGGAGCTGAACCTAGAACCTAGGAGATGGGAAGGCGGAGGGGGCTCACAGCTGAGCCTCATGTAATAGAGGAGGAAACTGAGGCCTTGAAAGGTACTGCAATGAATCATCTTTAACCTTTTCTCTTCCCTGGGCCTCAGTTTCCTCATCTGTGAAGTAAGGGGAGGTTGGTCTGATCCTGGGATTGGCCCTTCGTGACCAAAGTGGGCCTCTCTTTTGGTCCCTCCATTTGCCACGTGTTAGCGTTGCTGCATCCCAGCTGGAAAGGATTATCTCCTGGGTGGCTGTCTGGCTGGGGAGGAGGGAAAGACACTGTCCCCTTGGGCTGTTGTGGTCTCCAAGTAAAGTTTTGGGCCTCATTCTCCAGTCCTATCTCTGAGAAGCATCTATGAAAATAAGCACTATTTTCTCCCTTTTCCGGTCCCAGGCCCTTTCCTTACCCCCTGCCAAGGGCGACTTTGGGTCATTCCTGACAGTACTTACTGGAGTAGAATTTCTGAGAATCAGATAGTCCTTAAAGGAAGCTTGGGCAGGCCTGGATCAATCGTGGGGCCAGTTGGTCATTTCTGGAGGATGGTTGGAAGGCATCTTAGTCTGAGCTGCTATAACAAAATACCATGACCAAGTGGCTTATGAACAACAGAAATTGATTTCTCACAGCTTGAGGGGCTGGAAGTCCAGGATCAAGGTACCAGTGTCTGGTGAAGGTTCACGGCTACCTTTTCTGCCTGGCAGGGAAATGGCAGGGTCGCTTGTATCAGTCTAACCCTCTGGCCCAGAATGCTTGGGATCTCGTTCATGAGGACTATAACCCTAGTCACCTCCCAGAGGCCTCACCTCCTAATGCCATTGCCTTGGGTGTTAGGATTTCTACATAGGAATTAGGTGGGAGGGCTCAAACATTCTGACCATAGCAAAAGGGAAGGAGCAGGTTAAGGGTCAGTGACTCAGAGATAGGGGAAGACTAGCTGTGATAGTTGCCCTAGTGGTCCTTCAGGAAGCTCACTTTGTCTTTCCCCAAGGGAAGACTCCCGTCCTGCTGCTGTTAGAAATAGAGGAATAGGGACCAGCAGTTAGCGTAATGGCTATGTCTCTGGACTCCCACGTAGTCGTCCGCGGTTCGTGTCCCAGACCTGGTGGCTTAAAACTCACACCGGTTGTGTATGCGTGCATGCCCAAGATCCCGAGAGGAGAAGGGATTGTGGTGTGGTCATCCCCCCTGGGGGGTGATTTCTCGCTTTCTGTCTCTCTGTCTCTCTCTGTCTGGCCAGCGCATGCGCCTTATAGCAAAAACCTCTAAAAAAAAAAAAAAAAGAAAAAAGAAAGAAAGAAAGAAAGAAAGAAAGAAAGAAAGAAAGAAAGAAAGAAAGAAAGAAATAGAGGGACAGGGGCCTGCAGGTGGCGTGGTGGTTGAGGTTCTGGACTCCTATATGGCCTACCACAGTCCGAGTCCCAGACCTGGCAGCTTGCTTTCTCACTTTCCTTCTCTCTTGCTCTGTCCTCTCTGTTCAAACTAAAATAAATAAATACATAAGTAAAAAAAAAGTCAAATAAAAATTAAGAAAAAACAACACCCAAGAAATAGAGGGACAGGGAACCAGCAGATGGCATAATGGTTATGTCTCAAAACTCCCACGTAGTCAACCATGGCTTGAGTCCTGGACCCAGCTACCTAAAACTCACACAGGGCGCATATGCATGCATGCCCAGGGTCCTGTGAGAGGAGAATGGAGGAGAAGGGATTATGGCATGGCCATCCCCCCCGGGGGTGATTTCTTGCTCTCTCTCTCTCTCTCTCTGGCAAGCTCATTCATCCTATAGAAAAAGTCTCTCTGGGGAAAACAAAAGCAAGAGCGGGACAGAAGCCTAGCCCACTAACCCTCCCACCATGGCATTTGGAGCAGTGGACATTGTGTTTTAGGAAAACTTCTGGGACCAGCTAGTGGTGTGGAGGTTAAGGTGGCTGGATCCCACATAGCCAACTGCAAGGTTTAAGTTGACCCAGCAACTTGGAAAGTACTCCGGACATATGTGCATACGTGCCTAAAATCCTGAGAGGAGATTGGGGG